TATATATATATATATATATAGAGTCATAATTTCGAGATATATATGTATATAAAACACAACAAAAAAAAAGTTTATGTAAAAATATAATTAATAATCAAAATTTAATTTCAAATTCTTCAAATTATTTTAAGGTAATAAAATAATTGTGTTTTAAATTGTCCTCTCATAATGCTATTAAAATTTTTTATTAAGGGAAAATCTTTCTTTTGATATCAATCCGCGCGTTATGCGAATGAAAAATTAAATGTGAAATTGATATACTCTTATCGATTTATTCGATAAGAATTTCTCTTAAAACTGAAATGCATATAAATTCAAAAATCTTTATATATAAGTCCATATACTACGCTGTCGCTGCTCATGTTCATTTTCTTTCTCTTTTATCTATATGTACCTTTTACGGAACTGTTCGACGATTGTTCAAAGAAGCCCTGGAGACGACCTTAACCCATTCGAAATAGCTTCTGTTCGTCCCTCTCTTTGAGAATGGCAGTTGCAATACGTAGAGAAACATCGTTCGGATAAATTATAGATGGTGTTCTACGAGATTACCTTGCATCATGCACGCATCCTATTGGGATGACTGATCCGCATAGTTATTTAGGCTTAGTGAACACACAAACCCGAGCTCAGTATAACGCAGACACTCACGTGTATTTACACATCATATATACTCACATATATTTACACATATATACACATTTCTGTAGATGCAATAAGCTTTTAAATGGAATAAATAGAAGTAAGATACAATCTAATTTAAAAACAGTAATAAGAAGAATAATAGCTAGATTGTTGATGTAAATGGAATAGAATAGTGAATGCTGAAGTTCATTTTTTATTTATATTCTTTAATTAAAAAAGATAACGAACACAATATTCACAATTGAATAAACGAGTAGCGTCCTCGGTACATTTACAGTCTTATCGATTCTCTAACACTTGCGATGCATACAAGAAAGATTTAAAAATTTAAAGAGAAATCAAGATATGGTCAAAAATATTGACAATTTGAGCTTTTTGATCTTTTTTGCCAATTACTCAAATTTGATACTTTAAAATAAATATTTCAATTTTCTCATATAAACATACAGAATTTTGTATGCTTTTTGTATATAACTTTAATTAATATTATATTGACTTTTTTATGTATTTATTTTTGCAATATTTTTCAAATTTTTTTGAAAATGAAATCCAAAATGAAATCCTGTTACATAAGAGGAAATATATTTTTAAAATATAATAAAAACAAGAAGCTACATAAAATGGAGAAACAAGTCTAGAAAGTTGGAAAATTAATTATAATATATTATAAGTAACTATATAATTAGCTATATAATTAACAATATAATTACTATATAATTAACTGTATATAGTTACGTTATGTTAATTATAATATGTAATTATATTTCTAAAATTTTATTTTTATTCTTGAGAGATTAACAAATGCTACTATAATGTTGACATTTCTTCATCAGTCAAGTTGAAAAAATTGAAATATTATATTTTTCTTTCTTTATTATAAATATGTAAAGAATTATCAAAATGACATGATTTGAAAGATAAAAAT